GCAGACTGGGATGACGCCCGCCGTCCCTTGTCTCGTTTTCCTTCTTTTCCTTCGCTGTGCCCCGGACGAGAGACCCAGTCATCAAAAGACGGGTATTCGCTCTGTAATTCGCAAAGCGGCACTGCGAATGGCCATCCCGGAGTACCTGGCCCGGTACTTTCATCCAGGCCTTCTATGGTGTGCGGTGCATCCGTACAGGCGAAGTACATGGTGAGAATTGCTCAGATGTCTTCCCAGCCGATGGGTAGCTATTGATGTCTAATGATACTTCATCTTCTCCCTCCCCCGTCGTCTGTCGTGTGGTGACTTCTTCGACGTCCGGCGTACATGGCCCGATACCGAATCACACAATGAATTCAGGCGGCGTTGTTACGGTAGAGAAAGCTGCCGTGATAGTGTTGAGAGTGCGCAATGAGTCGAGGCGAGAAAATGTAGAGGAATGTCCAGAGCAATTTTCAAAAGACCCTGGGTAGAGTTAATGAACGACTCGTGGCGAAAGGCAAAAAAAAAAAAAAAAAAAAACCAGAGCCGGACAGGGACAAGGCAGATGCAGGCCGCCGCTGCCTTCAACCTTCTTTCTGTACATAAAACAAGTCTCATCATGCCGTGCCGTGTCGTGATACATCAATTTCAACAACACACGCCGATTAGCTCTGCTTCGTCTGTATAATCCGTGATAGTCTGTCAGCGCTGACTGGTCAGACGAACTATGGACATTGGACAGGAACCTGCGAGGCGCCCGAGCGACCTACCCCTTCGAGACGGGCTGCTGCAGACTCGCGTGGCTAACAAACTGTGATGTACCTGCTTTGTGGCGCTGCCGTTGTTTCTTCTCCTCTCACACGACCCGGGGATACCTACATGCCTACATATATGATGGGGGAGGAAGATGAGCATGGGAGACGAGGATGGTACTCGATGGATGGCTGGCAAGGGTTGGAGCTGGATGGGATGTGTGGGGTTTTTTGGAGATGAAAAAGAAGTGAGCTTGTGAGCAGGTGCAGCGCGTGCCGTCACTGCAGCGCACAGCTGTAGCGCGCTCTAAAATGAGGAGGGGATGCAAGATGGACAGGTCGCCTCGCTCAGATGGACCCAGATGGGAGACGCACAGCAGGATACCGCTTCCTGTCGGTAGGGATCAGATGTCAGACAATCAGACAATTCGGAAAGTGCCTGAGGACAGGACATGTACTCTGTCTTTGGTTGGTTGTCGTCAAAGTCGGTCATGGAATTGTGCGCCTGAGAGTCAAGATGAAAGAGGGAGCCGCTCTACCGCACAACACGGCAACGTTCGTTTACCGGACAGGAAATAGAGCGAGAGACAGCCGGTATTTCCGGTTCGTTATCTGTGGTGGGTGTGAATCGTCCGAACCACCTCGGTGCAGCAAGACGAACGATTGTATTCGTAGGTCAAGACGACTTGGAAGTTTGCGGCCATGGCATATGCCAAGCCCAAAGAAAAGCAAAACAGAACATGGGAGGAACCACGGGACCTAGTGATGTAAGATGGCATCTGTGATGCAACAACCGAGTTTGGCGATGGTGGACCGTGTTGTCTCTGGTTTTGAAAAGATGCTGTACGCCAGCGTGCCTCGAGAAGGACGTCTCGGATTTCAGAGTGGAGGTATAAAGAAAAAATTGGCCTTGAACCGGCAATGTAACCGTACACATCTTCCGCACCTGGGTCAATCAGTCCGTCACATTTGCGGTTTGGCCCTCAGAAAACTGATAAATGAGGTTGAAACTGCGCTGTCTTGTTGCCGTGGCCGTTGCCTGCCGCACCACGTACATACCCCCTTACAATAGAGAGCGGCTGGCATCATGCAAGATGAGAGTCGGATCACAGACATGCTCGAGCAGGTAATATATGGTGAACGACAAGCTCGATAATCCCGAGTCAGCGGTTGGCCGCAGCACCTGCCCGAGCAGCACTCTTGTACCCAACTAGCCGCGTTGATATTGCCAACTCGTTGCTTTACGCAAGCTGCTTCCCTGATCGAATCTTTCTACGTACCAAAGATGATGGAGGCGGTGCCCGTACAGAAACTAGGGACTGGTGTAGTAAAGAGAAGCAAAGCCCTCATCGACCTTGAGCATTGAATATGACAGCAGGGTGGATGGAGATGGGTTCGTGACCCTACACAGTCCGTTGATGTCAACTTCAAGTCTCAACTGGCCCATGCATGTTGGACGCAAAGTCCCGGCGACCCTCGCCAGAGGTTACCGACACACTGACCTGGGCAGAACCCGACCCGTCCCTGTCCTGTACAGTCGCATCCTCGGCGGGACTGGTCAGCCCCAGGTCACCCCTCCTTTCCCGCAACTGGACAGACCCGAGGTGATCAAGGGACTCTGGGTGGTTCCGCAGTCCTGCCATACACAGTATTCCCCATAGGCCTCATCCAGACGTAGGTATGCCAATCACACTAACTAACAACAATTCAGAATTTGCCCGATATTTGCTGACCGGTACGGAGCCCAATGCTCTCACTCTCTCCATGGCCTCAACAATGGCATCATGGACATGCCCTGGTCCCAGACTTTTGAATGAGAGCGGGTGCTGGCCTCTCTGGCTAGGAGTCTGGTCACTGAGAGCACCTTGCCTTGCCTTACATGGCATACAGCGCGTAGTAACTCTCCACCGCGGCCGACAAACCCTAAGGCACGCAACACCCGTTCCGCCCGAAGTGCAACAAGGACATGACTCTGCAACTCACCACAAACTCGTAAAGATGGGTCGTTTCTCGAAAACGTCTATCCACACCTCATTCATTAACCTTTTTGTCCCTCATGCCTTGGGTAGCAGCCGAGCAATCTAACCTCTGTCCATCAGAGCTGTAACCCTCTGTCACAGTCCTGAGTAGGTATGCCCGGTGGGCAGCGGCGTCTCACGAATTAATCAACACGTGGGCGCCAGATTCCAGTCTTGGACTCTTGACAACCATGCCCTCGATCATCTAGACTCGCCGCTGGCAGGGGGCGTTCTCGGCCTCATTCATCACGACAGCTAGAATTGTCTTGGTTTAATCCACCATAATCCAGTTTCAACCCATATAAAAGTCTGATCTGGGTCCTATTAAGCTAGAATGCCATGAGCTTCGCTATCGACCTTCCGCAAACATCTGATACCCTTCCCAGTTGGAATGGGACCCAAGAGCCCCCCTGTACTGCTACCACTGCCCACCACGTCCCCTTCCAAAGTCCAAGGGGACGTGCGAAAGCCATGCACTGACGCAGTAAAAGCCCGGTTGATGGGCGTCTCATCGACCCAGGCGGCACCTGGTGAGGCCGGTACTTGATCCAAATTACATACATGGCCCATGCATGCATTTCCCCGGAGCAGGTATCTATCGGTGCCTTTTCAAGTACCGGACGGATACGGTATCACATCTACAAAAGAAAGACGAGTGGAAGACAAGGCCAACCGTTCTCCAAGAAGCTGAGACGGGGCTTGTTTGGATCGACGGCCACTGTATCTTAAGACGAACATGAGCGTTTGAGCAACAAGGTGACTGGCAATGCATTCTCGTCATGTCCCGATAGCCTGTAGGCCTGTAGGTATGTAGATCAGATCGGCGACTTGTTGGATGGGTGAACATTGCCAATGCCAGGGCCTTTCTAAAGCCCGGATCCCCGACTTGCCGTTGCCAACCGGCTTCACTTCTGCCTTGTCCATTGAAGGACAGAAGCACTCAGTCCCGGCAGACCGCCCCGTGAGGCCCTGGCTTTGTAGTTTGTTATACGAAAAAGCGGATATTCAACAACCCTCTCGCACGGGCGGAAAAGGGACACGGGAAAGTGATGGACTCCCCTGTCCTGGGTAATCACACCTGGTGCCAGACCACTGTGTCGGACCCCGTTGGTCAAGCCGGCACTCACCGGACCGCCAAGATCGGGCCATCTAATCAACCCAGCCGTAGGGGTGTCCTTGGCGCAGCCTTGTCAAGCCTGCAACATGTCATTTCTTCTTCATCTTCGACATGGCTTCACACGAGCCCAGGCATGACTCTGCTGCTTCTGACGTTTGACACTGACACTTGACAGATTAACTAACAACTCATTTATAATGCAGTACATGAACAAATCAACCACAAGTGTCATTTCAGCCCCGTGAGATGACGTTCGCTTGGCAGCTCTTTCACCGAGATCAAGGGCCGGTCCGCCAAACATGCCCATGTAATGTCTGTGTCAGATCTCGAACGGATCGATGGGAACAAGGAAAGAAGCAGGAAAAAGAAAAAGAAGGCAAAATACCGAAAGACGCCATAGCCTGCCAGGCGGCACTAGAGGTTCGATTTGACGTCGTGCCGGTCCTCCACCGTTTAAGCATGACTACGGTACTCCATACTCTATGCCGCGGACGAAGCTGGGTGTGAAGAAGTACCGCTTACGGTACGACAGACACGTCCACTGCCCAGACCATGCATGCTACCCGTTCGTAAAGATTCCCTTTTCTGAGCTGGTGGCGATTGGCCCCCAGCTTCAGAAAAGCGGTATGATTTGTTGTCTGCATGTCTGCTGAAAAGGGGTATGGATCATGGGGGGCCTGCGAGGTGAAAAAAAGATGAGACGAAATAGGATCCTTGCCTAGACTGCCTCAATCGAGGCAAGCCGCGGGTCGGAGACACATCGTAGGCGGGCTACCGTTCGAACTTCGGAGAGCTGCAAAAGAAAAGCAATGGCATGCAAGGGTGATGTATCCGTAGTATGTGAATAGAACGGCTAGACCACGATGACCCAGTTGGCAGGTGACATGCCTCGAGGTAAGTACGGATACGAATTTAGATGGTCTGTACGGAGTAAGTACGACAGAATCCACACTTGATACTGGCTATCCTGGGACGTTGCCTCTGCCTATGTCCATTCTGCTGATGGTGTCTTGTCTACTTGTCAGTTACCAAGCTGGGTCGACGGACTAGTTGTTTCGTTGCTGCAGATTAGACGAGTCCTCGAACAGAATGTCTCACTTCTTTCCGCGCGAAGACACACTAACATGGCCCTCACTCATATCGGACAGCATGAGATGCTCCAAGACCATGCCTTCCTCCCTGGCTCGTGCTGATTACTGACCGATGACGAGCGAACCTTCCGTCGTTACTACGGGCGAGGAGCCTTGTCAGACAGTTGCACATTAGGAAGGACATTTAGAGATCGACCTAGACTTGAGAAAATTGGGATGAATGTTCTTCTTGCCGTGCCGAGGATAGCTTCGCAGCTCCTCGATTGGGACGTTCAAACCCGTCTTGCGCTTACCTTGCGAGATAACATCGATAGGCACTTGCATCTATGGATTCCAGGGCCTTGGCATCCTGGGTACCAAAGCCGTAGAGAAGCGCCGTGAAGAAACCGGCCACGGTGGACCGTCGTCTCATCATTGTCGCTGCAACATATCAACGCCCGATAGTAACAACATTGCGGATGCTTGCCACAGATTAGGACCAAGTAAACAGCTCTACGCCCGTCTCATCCCTTCCTTATGACAAAAGGGCGAATGCATTGTGTCGGTCTGGACGGCGAGTTGCTGCTCTGGCCACCCATCCCGCATAGAAGTGGAATCTCACCCGCCCTCCGATCCGACCTGACACAGCCATGAGAGCGCAGCTTGTGTCTGCTCACTCTACCTTCGACCAATAACTTTCCTCTTATCAACCATCCGCCCGTCTATCTTGGCTCATGGCTCTACCTATTCGGTGCCAGGCAGCGAGTTTGCCAGTCTGCGTGTCTGCACGAAAGGATCGCACCACATGGCAACTAGATATGGTCAATGCATGGCGATGATCCCGGCTCGCCAGCATTCTCTCCCGCAAGGGGGGGCGGCTCGGGACCAGAGATCTTGGAGGGGATAGCACAGGCACAGGCACGTCTGCGCCTCCGCTACTGCCTTCGTCACCCAAACCATCACATCACAATGTCGAGAAGAATTGGAGAACATTCCACCAAGAGCCTCCGGTCGAAGGGGAGCGGAGACCATGCCGATCGATGCGGAGAAGCTTTCTGCTTTTGTCCTCCTGCTGATGCCATCCATCTCGCTCAATGCCAAGTGCGTCTCAACTCTTCGGGGGATGGGGTTCCCGCTATGGTTCGTTCGATGTCGCTAGGAAGTACTTGCAACAACTCTAACCCCAAATGTAGAAACCGTTAAGAACGGGCTGACTCAAGTTCACATTTTCCTGTGGATCCCCTTTCGACGACATAGAGAACGGCCACACATGCTGGCTACCGCTCGAATCAGAGCATGCTTTGAACCAGATCATGGACGACTGACGTTGGTCAGTGCCGAATTGAGGCAGCGCAAGCCATCCGCGGCGAGTCTTCGTCTGTATCCTGGAGCTCGACACTGACACCCTGGCTTGGGCCCGAGGGACTTTCCCCGGATTGCTCGTAGATCCGCCACAGCATCATCCACGCGTAAAGCAAAGCCACAACTTGCTCGTCCTCCCTTGCTTCTGCTCGATATCCTGCATCATACAAGAGTCATGTCATGGTATCAACCTTGTCGTCAGCGTCAAACCATCACTTTTGCCTTCACATAGATTGGCCATCTCGAACGAAGGACATCGTCCACGCTGAAAGAGTCTATTCGTACCGACGACTGCCTCCATAAACCCAAGCTTGATTGACAAGTTGGCCTACAGTTCAAACTTCAACAAAGGCATCCCCCCACAAAAGAGGTGGACACTTTCCAACGGGCCTCGCCCAAAGTCGCAATTACAGCGAGCAACTAACGGAACCCAGCCCCGGCTGGCATCTCCGGCACTTTCTCGAGACCTTGGTTGAGTAAGTCTTGACGACCTAGGAGTGAACATTGGCAAGTCGCATTCATACGTTGGTGCACACAGCTTGCCCCGCACCTGTACACATGACATCCAGAGACCTTGTTCCCTCATGCTCTCCAGAGCCGAATAGCGGCCGAAGGTGCCAGGTAGGAGACTCCAAGAGTAAGAGTTGAAGAGCCCGACACAGGCCGGGCACCGCGGCATCCAAAAGGCCCTGACTGGGGTTCGCTGGTCTCCTATGGGAATAGCCCGATACATGCTGCTCATGCCGCTTCGTTCCAGGCCCGGGTTCGATGGTGTGCATACAGCCACAACACCCAACAGCCATTCAATTTGCGAGACGGTTTCCAGCACTACTGCACCGAGGCAAAAAGAACAACGGCCGCAATCTCCAGATTGGGGGCCAACGTCCATGCCTTCCAAGCCTCAACACGAACGCATGAGACGGGCGGTTTGAAGTGAGCACGGCACCACGGCAGAGAATAATTGTTACACACGTGGCTGCAGTGTGTCTCTCGACGCATGGATCAGTAATAGGGTTAGCCATCCGAATGCTCAAGCTGCCGCCTCTCAAATGAGGTGTAGTGGAAAGAGAGCACTGTTCAACAAGAGGCCATCCACCATTATCAGACATTGACTCAGATATGTTGCCGAGAGAAGCTTCGACTCTGCATCCATCTCCCGTCTGCTGAGCTAAACCCCAACCCACAACTTGGTGGATACGATTGTTGAAGGGGAAAGTGTATGTTGCCAAGCAGAGATACCATTTTCTCTCTATTTTGACGCCGTTGACGCAAGTTTGCTCTCTTGGCGCGGCGAGACTTGGGCGTTCCAAACCGCTCGGAGGTGAGAAACGACGCGATGACCTGGAATTTAAGCTTCGGATGTTCTTTACCTTATTCGGATCGCCTTGGGCCATTTCCCCATCACCAATCTCTATGCCGTTGTTGCATCCGAGTCTTGACCGCCACGCGTGGGTCCTAGACGTAACACAGGAGCCCCGTCAGAGCTCAAGAACAACTTAGCAAGGAGCAAAACGCGGTTCTCTCGAGCCGCCGGTCTCGGCTCCGGGTTACGGCCGTCCAATCTCATGATGGCAAACCCGCATCTAATTTCTCGACCTTATTTAGCCCCTCGTCCAAGTTGCTCGGCACCCGTCTGGAAAGGTCCGAGGCTCTGACACGACCTTGACAACATGGCAAGGGCCGTCATAATGTGACGGGAAAGAAGACTGGAAGCAGAGAACACCTGTATCGCCAAGCAACGACGGTCATACTACACCCACAACTGCCGCCACCCGGACTGAAGGAAAGGCCAGTCATAAACCAATACCACAACTCCCCTGTACTTATCACAGGAAAGCCTTTGCGATATCGTTTCAGCCAATGTCACCTACCGCTCTTAGCAACTTGTTCCATATTCCATTCCATAGGCTGTCCTGACGATCCTCGCACCGGCTCACCAACCGAGGATCTATATCACTGTCAGCTATCAGTCAGGTATGATTCTACAGCAAGCACGGTCTTTTCGGTTGAAAGGCTGTCGGACCGCCGGGAACGTCCAAGATAGCCCTACAAAAGCTGCGACATGGTTAATAGAAGGGATTGGGCAGCGCAATAACGTTCTGCCGGAGCAGGGCCGACGATGGGTTGTCACTTAATCTACATCATACAGGCACTAGATCGGAAGGGGTTGTCTGTTCATGCCTATTTGCAGGCGAACATTGGACTTCTAAGCTCAAGGTATCTCATTAGAGTACCCCGTCCCCGTCGGTGGCGTTCAGAGGGATGGCCTGGGCAGCAATTTTCGACTGCGGCTGATGGCATGGTTGACCTACCTGTCATGGCGTTGCCTTCATTTATCGAGCCGGGCTCTCCGTGTGCACGGAAACTAGCTATGCGGGAGTCAGGGCAGTATCCACGCCTTCATCGTACAAACTGCCGGAACATGCAATGAAAGGACCAAACTCTGCTCAGAGCTTGTTGATTCGAGAGCTCTGACAACACCATCCAAGACTATGATCCTTTCGTAAGTCAACAACTCATGAATCCTAATGTATCGGACCACACTCTCTCACAGCTTCGCCCTCCATCCACTCCAAAATTCCCTTGCATGTTCTTGTTTAAGCTTATGGGCGGTTAGGCGCGCACCCGTCCCACAAGGTCTCTTGACCCAGTCAGACTCGTCATCTCCATCCCAACGGCGTCTTCCAGCCGTACCAATCACCATCACGGCCCTCGCAGAATTTGGAGAATTTGGGGAACGAAGCCGAACCATCTACTTCTGACTCGAGACCTTTGTCCGAAGCTGGGGTCGAAGGAGACCATCGATTCGTGACTCCGCGCAGCGTCCCCCTCTTTCTCCCCACACTCCTCCGCGCATCCACTACCTTCTGCAGGTCTTGAACCCTGATTTCGTACAGAACTACAGAATGACTCTCAGCTACTACACGTGTGCTCTGCAACACCTGACCATTAAGAAATGCCGGCCCGACACGCCACTGGGACATGGCAATAAAAGCGTTTGGAGAGCTACTGAGAGGAGGAGACGGGGCGACGTTCGTCTTGACCCATTATGGGCAGAAACGGGGGCTAACGTCCCGTGCAACGACGACGCCTCGCGATGACATATAGCGAATAGCGAGTCATCGACAACAGCCATGTTAGCCACCCCCAACAACGGCTGGCTGCCACTTTGTTGTGTAGGGGACACCAGCGAGTGCGTCAAGCCTGGCCAAACTTGAGTCCCCAGGGTTTAGGCCGTCAACGTCAACCCGGTATTAGTCCGCTGACGCCCTTCTTACCAGACGAATTCGCAATTCTATCACTGTGTATGCCTCTTTACGGTCTTTGCGGACGTTTGTGAGGGAGACTAGCAATGTGTGATTCAGCAGCGGCCCATGACCATACAGTTACAGACGCGTCGATAGCAGACCTGGCCTTGCCGAGAGCGACCGATGAATCCCCTGCAACGGGATGGCATGGTCAGCAGTCAGACCGACATGTACATGCGCGCTATATCGTGTCAGTTCGTGGATGGATCTCGGCGTCTGTTACACCACCAGCTTGTTCACTTCGGTTTGCCCTTCTCTCTGATGTCGCGACACGTCAAAATGTTCTGGTTACAAGGCATAGGTTGCTTTCGAGGGCTGAGGAGGCAATTCAGAAATACAAACACCGCAGGGACTTTGAAGCAAAAGGAGTTCAGATTCTACTCACACCCCTCTAGACAAGGCCTACTTCTTTTCTTCGTCCCCAGCACATCCGAGATACTGAGCTAGGCTATGTGCTGGATTCAATATCAGGACACTTGTGATATGATTCAGTCCCCCGCAGCATGCGGCAAGTCCCTTTGCCCTGCCCGTCATCGAAATACGCCACGCCCACACTCTCGAGATTTTCTGCGCGCCGTCCTCTCACCTGAGCCAGCCCCAATCGCGGTGATATCCGCGTCCCATTCGTCGATCCAATATTCTTTCGCCCTTGCCCTGTTCGTTAAAACGCAGTTCCCGATCGGCTCGACTGGGGACGGCCACACCCAGACCAGCGCAGGGGACGGCACGGTCTTCGTTTCCCGCCCTTGCATGACGAGGGTGTTTT